GGTTTTTGTTCCTCTGCATCGGTTTGCAGTGCTTTGGCTCGAAAGTCGTGACTTTTCCGTACAAGTGTAGTATGCGAAGTACACTCTGCCAGCTCCCAGCTCCAGCTCGAAAGTCGCAACTTTTCAGTACAAGTGTAGCACGAAAGTACATTTTGGCAGCTCCAGCTGGAAAGTCGCAACTTTTCATAAATTAGTATGCGTAGTAGACTTTGGCAGCTCCGGCTCGAAAATCGCAGCTTTTCAGTGCAAGTAAGCTTTTCAGTACAAATGTGGTACACAAAGTGCATTTTGGCAGCTCCAGGGAAGGCTGCAGGGCAGCTGGTTGGATTCGGCGTGGCGGCCACTGAGTTGGGTATCGGTTGGGTATCGGTTTGGGCCCTGCAAATTTATGATTCCGCGATCTTGGCTTGCGACGACAACTTGGACCTGATGCGTGTCTTCATGGCTTCTGGGGGTATCGGTTTTTCTTCCTCTGTATCGGTTTACAATGGTTTTGGCCTGCAAAACAAGTTAAGGGACGGCCCCTTACACAACGAAAAGGCGCGGGGTATTTGTTTCAGCCCAAATGGGTTGCCCTGGTAAATGGAGACATGGACCAATGTGTGCGGTCCCCTGGTGGCCAATTGCACCACCTAAGAAACCCTGGAACGATTCGCTTGTAAATACCAACAAACAATGGTTTCCCATGCTTTCCAGTACACAGGAGGAACCCAGCACTACTCAGCTTCCCGTACTTGATGGTTTGGGGGGAGTAGCTTCCCAATTACCCAGAACCAGTTCAAATCCCCAAATAACAAAACCAAACCACCAATTAAGGGTTACCTGAAATACTGTGGATGGACAAATTCCACGCCATGCAGTTGGGATTGGTGGTTTATCAGCCAGTATTCCTGGCATTCATCGATCCCACATGATGCAGGATTGTCCATCCACAGAAGAGCAAATGTGGGGTTCTCTAGAACATGAAACAATTTAGAACATGGAATAATCCAAAAAGAACATGAAATATTCGTGACATTTCTATTTCGCAGCGGACCCTTGAAGAACATGTACTTAACCTGAAAAAAGCCATCCGCAAGATCCTAACCCCAAACCCTAAAAGGAGGTTACAAAACCCAGACCCGATTTGTACCCAACATGTTTGGGGGCTTTCACTCCTGTTCCAGCCTTTACCTGCACAAACTGTTACTGTAGGTGAAATAGCTTGAAAAAAAGACTTCAACAGATCTTACAAGTCAAATTCACATGGAACCAACAAAGGGTCCAGCAAAAAGAAGACACCTCCACAAATGAGGGTCGTTGGAAGGCGGGGAAAGATTGGATTTTCTGAGCGGCAGCCAGCCGGCCAGGTCATTCCGGTGTGCTGACCCAAACCTTCCAAAGACCTGTTCAGACCAAAGCTTTCACAAAACAAACGGGTGCAACTAGATGGCACTGTTGGTTCAGTCGACTGACTTGCCCGCATAAAGGGACTTGTGCTATCTACTTTCACCCAGGTGGAACTGGAACTCCCCAAAATCCATGTCTAGTGGGTTCCAACATCCAGCTGCCACGGACCCAAACCCTCCAACAGACCGCCCAATGTCCCTTTAAACGCCCTCCTCAGCAGCACCACAGCCACAAGCAGTCGCAAACCCAGGATCGGCCACATCCCATGTCGACACAACACCCACAGCACAGGAAACCGGTTGCCAAAGACGTGATGTTTTCCTTCATGAAACTCAGAGTGGGTTGGCAGCACTCTACCATGCAAGCTTGAAAAGAAGAGTCAGCCCACACGTCTCAGCGTTCTGGAAGCTAAATCAATCCGTGGGTTGCTCTTCCCCGCGCAAAAGGGTCGATCCATCTCCTAGGCCTTTGGTGTCACGCCAGAGTCCAGCCACTCTCTCCGTCACCAAACCGTTGCTTTTCCCCCAACACCTTCCCAAAAAGCGACTCTCAAACCCCGAAACGGCACCCCGGGAGTGAGGCCGGCGCCCACTCGCCCACTCGCCCCACCGACCTCTTGGCGGAACGAGCCGCTCTGGGCCTCCGGGCCCATGAGCAGGTAGGCCCTACGGCCCAGCTCTCCTCTGGAGGTGGGCTCCTGCCAGGGAAACCCCATCCACGAAAACTTGGCTGACGCTGGAAGCAACAAAATCTGTGTTTGCAGTTAAGTGAGGAATTTCCCACTCAACCACAAGAAGCAAAAACCGTCAAAAGTTTCTCAACCACAACCATGGAAAGGCCGTGGAATGAAATGGACATGTCCGTTTTGGGTATGCGTCAAAGTAGGAGGACACCGAACAAGGCTTTGGGCTCCGGAGAACACTCAAAAGGCCTGGGTACAGGGAAGCCAAAGGGAAACCAAGCGCTTTGCGAATTTCTTTGGGGAAGTCCACACCCCGCAAAAACTCCATGCGTTCGCTGAAGCTTCCCAAGTCACGAGTTGGTCTCACAATGGGTGCAATCGGCGTCTCGACACCCAAATTCCACCTGTCCCAAGATCAATGTTGCCCATGGTGTCCAAAGCTTCGTTTCGTTATGTTCATGGCTTTAAGATGTATAATCCTCAGATTAGTCCAACAAACTTATTGTCTAGGTTTGGGTCTGTCAAGTTGCACATCTTCAAAATAACAGGTTGCTTGATACTTCCTAAGCCGCCAAGCTGAAATCTGCCGAACTGTAGGAGGATCCTTCGCTGTGGGAGAGCTCGCTCTACCCAGGAAAGAAGTTTGAACTCCTATGCACCTCTGAATAGAAAGCTGACGCTTCCAAAACTTGAACAGATTTGTCACACACACACACGCACCCACAAAAAGCTGAGCTAACTCTAGCGATGCTGACATACCACCTGGGCGATCTGCTATAATGAGCCGCTCTGAGCCTTGACGGCTCTTCGAGGCTTCTGTTGTTCCCTTGGCGGGGCAATGGTGGATGTTTGGGTGCTCAGCTGCATGGGGTAAATTGGGTGCTTGGGTGCCTTGGTATTTGATTGGCAGACTGGGCGGTGAGCTGGCGGCTTGTTCCGGGTCTGTGCTCGAACCGCTTCCAGCCGGGTCGGCCTAGAACCGCAACCGATGGACTCCCTTTGACGTGAAGGGGTCAAGTGCAGTGCAAAATGCATCTCCGAACTGTTTCCAGCTGGGTGCCCAACTGGGTTGATCTAGAACCCCCGATCGAGTCCCTTTGCTTCTGCCCTTTCTTTGGCCAAAGACAACGTAAAGGCAGAAGGCAGAAGGCCGGGGGTCCAGTCACCAACGCCAGTCCTGCATGAAGACCCAGAAGCTGAACGCGAAGGGCGGGTGCACAATGCACTGACCTCATTCCCGCCGCTGCCAAGTCAGTTCATTCGCGCTCCTGGGTCCACCTACTAGCGAAACCGACATTGGTTATTGACTGATTTGGAAGCACCAAAGAGTCAAACAACAAGAATACAAAACAATACTAAAATCAATCCACACCAGGTTGTGGGTCGTTTGCAAAATCTGCGACTCACGACTTCATAGTTCTGAATGCGCAGTGATTGGATATGGAACACCGAACTAACTTGCAAGGCACCCATCTGCCACGGTCAAAATATGAATGTGTCTTTTCGGGAATTCCCCTTTTGGTGTGGTGTCAAAGGACAACCACCATTAGTTGTTTTGTTGGGCAGGGGTACCTAAAAGAGAATCACACGAATGCGGTTGCCCCAAACATGGGACATGAGCGAGTCGCTTGGTTTGTTGGAACCCGTCCCATGTCCCAAAAGGCCCATCTGAGTCTGATCGAACCGAATTTTGAAGCTGACAACAAACACAGAAAGGAACATACTCTGATCAGAAGGAAGTGAAAGGGTTGCTCGTATTCGGAATGTCCTACGGACCAGAGCCACGGGAGAGACCTGGCACACAGAAAGGACCGCTTCTTTGAAATCCCGTGTACTCCGTGGCAGCTTGCTGGCAGGCAGACGCCAGGTTTGAAAGCAGCTTTGACTGACTACGACGAGCCTCTATGTGCCAGGGTAGCAAAGCCCCCCCCCCCCCAATTCACTACTCTTAGTAGGATCATGGAGGACGGCTCAAACAGCTTCATGCCGTCGCTAATGTACCATCAGGCTGAATCCCGCCTTGCGGTATCATGGACGCCTCAATGTTGAAATTGGGGTGAACAAGCCAAACCCTGTAATCTGCCGCAGTTTGCTTGACCGAGCATGCCAGTGACAAGCTCTTGCTCCGTGCTGAGCCCAAAATATGCGGTGCAAAAAGGCTGAGATGTGGGTGGCGTTAAGGGCTCTTAGGCCGGCCCTCACCGCAAGAGGAATCCAAGCCATGCCTCGGGTCCAAAACCAAGAGAAATCAAGAGAAAACCCTGATTGATGGCATCAAGAGAACCCTTCAAGAGATCCCTTCAAGAAAACCCAATCATTTCATGGCATTTGCGGATACCAAGATGTTACACCGTGCGTTGCGTCAGGGGCTCCAATTCAATTCATGGCTCCCGCTATGTTCTACGTGGAATTTGCCTGCCCAGCGCTTCCCGTTTCCACCATAGGCCACCATTCAGTATTCTTACCTTCAGGTGTTACATGATGGCTTTCCCTTACTTATCACTATTGCTGCAACTGGGATTTTTGCCAGGTACATGGTTTCCTGTGTTACCTAGAACGGCTTGCAAAGCACCGGGGGTCACGGGTTAGACACACCCCATGCTCTCCGAAACTTAGAATTCCAACACCTGAAACGAGGACCCCCAAGTAAAGAACCTATATATATATATATATATCATGGCTTGCCCTCACTTTTCCCCCGAACCCATGGAAGTCGTCACAAAATATGACAAGCTCATGTGTTTTTGGGGGAACTGTGGAATTCGCCTTTGTCATGGTGTCCCCTGTTGGTTGATTTTAAAGGGAATCGAAAAGGGAACCAGCCATTGATTTTCCTCTTCCATTTGCTTAAGCCCCCTGGAAAAAATATCCAGTAGTGATAGATTCCCGTTAAAACTAGCAAGGGAGAATAAAACATATTCTTAAGCAAATGGATGTCCTGTTTTGCTCCCCCCCCCCGGCGAAAGCTTTCCCCTGGGATCCCATGCTTGGCACCGCGAAGGTGAGGCTCTGGGGTGGCAGGCCCTAGGCTTTCGATTCGACGCTTCCGGGAAGAAATTTGGGCACCCGGCTCCAAATCGATTGATTTGGGGCCTTCAAACCACCTGGTTTTGAGACCCAACCAAAGCCCCAGCCTCTGGGCAAAAGATTTCGAAGCCCCGAAACGCGAAATTAGAACCATGTCGGGGGTGCGGGGATGGCAGCACAAAAACCCGGGAAGTGGGCAGCGTTGCTTGGATTCCTCTGGAAAACAACCGAAAGAGCACCTTCAACAAAAGACTGACATTTTGTGAGGCACCACTACAACCCGGTATTGAAGCGTCTGCCCATATGAAGAATCAGGGGTCTATGCTGCACATGTACGCTTCAGCCTGTCCGCTTGTCCCTGTCCGCTCCCCAGAAGAACAGAAGCCGTCTGGAGCCTGACACATCAGTTCATCTCCATCTGCAATTTGGCACCCCCAAAGAATCGGCAGTGCTGTGGTTTCCACGTTAACAGAAGCCAAGAAAACAGTACCCTCGCAAACAAAAATACACATACCCGACAGAGCCATGCTCTGTACACCCTCTGCCCCCTTTCCAAGCTCTTGCAACCAGAATCCCTTTTTGGCATTGACCATTTTCCATGGGGAACCAGCACAAAAAGGTACAAACATGTGCCAAAAAGCTGGGCTGCATTGTTCTGCTTGGGGGTTACTGTCGGCGGGACCGAGTGAGGCTCTTAGGCAATACAGCGGATGGACGAAGTTCATTCAAAACCCTGGTGTCTGATTCGATTCCCGAGTGAAAGCCGTAGCAAACAACGGTTTCAACCCTGGCTTCCAAGTGGTGCGACCGGATTTGGTCCATCCACAGTAGTCATTCCATAGGTCCATAGGTCCTGACTCAAACGGTCACTCGTAGCGGCACTCGATCCCAGACCGATGTTTCGAGCCTGGTAGCACTTGGTGGTTTTTGTGTCAGGCCTCGAGGCAAAGGTGCCATGGCAACCCTGCTCGAAGGGTAACTTCCAACCAATTCCACGGATTATTATTCTGTTCAGAAAACCCCATCCAAACACCAAAACAAACGCCTGGTTTCCGAAGAGAGCGATGGTTGAAAAGAACGGGGAGTCAACACCCAGAACTGCGCAAGTTCTACGGTACTGGCCTAAGATCTACTGCAATTGAGCACGATTTTGGGAGGCCCTTGCCACATCCCATAAAGGTGGTACTACAACACGACCGTGGAACAAACATGCTGGCCCCTTTCATGCTGTTGACCGTACGTCATTGTTTCTTGGCAAGCCTGGCCCGGCCCACCAGGCTTCTTTTGGACAAGCCTGCGCTGAAAACATCTTCCAAATGGGGAAGCTAGGTCCTCCAGTAGAGAGGTTAGAATATGGGTACCCTTCTTCTGTAGTCTATTTTAGTAGGGGAGGGTTCCAGGGCACTACTGGGGGACCTAGGAAAAGTGGATGAAAGAACAAGCCAAAGCAGGGTGATCCAGAATCACGACACACGCATCGAGCGAGGCCAACCGTTTCGGCCTTCACTTTATTCAAACCATCGGCACAAGGACCTTTTGCCGGGAGGCAGACCTCCTCAAGGTCACTAAGCCTCTTTCAAATCCCATTGGTGCCTTTGAAACTTTGTGTGGATCCCCTTTGCACATCATTGAACTACAAGGCTAGCCGTTGGCCTCTGAAGGGATTGGTTTAAGTCCATTGAAAAAAACAACATTTCCAGTGATAGATTCCCTTTAAAACCAGCAAGGGAGAATAACAAAAGCAAATGGATGTCAAGCGACCCAAGGGCCGGGTCTTTCTGCCACCTTCCGGCTGGGCGCTGGGCTGCTCCATGCAAAGCTTCGCGAACTTCACCTTGAGCGAGCGAGTTGGACCCGCTCCCATCGGAGCGGTAGCCAGAGCTTCACGGATCTGTCAGCCAAGATCCTCGGCCCCTCGAAAAACAAGCATGGAAGGTTGACTCCAAACTGAGTTATATACTGGGGCTGGGTTTGGAAACCAAGGTTAGCCCCAAACTGAGTTATATACAGGGGGAAACAACCTCTACGTCAAATAAAATGCATGCATTTGCTGGAACGGAGTCTCCCCTGCGGGCAAGGGCCTCCTTCTAGCATCCGCCTTGCTGTGCAAAGGAAAACAAATCGTGCGGCATTCAGGCGCGAACCTTGGAGGTTGCGGGGAATTCACTGCAGATTTAAGGAAGGAACCCCAACACCCATTGCATGTGAGGAGCCTCCTTGTTCAGCCCAAAAACCACTTCCGGGCATCTTCTGAGAGACTTGCACGGCCTCACTTGCACAAAGGAGCTGCAAGAAAACAGCAAACCTTATGGAACCTGGACAAACAAAAAACGATTGGAGAGCCAACACCCCAGACAATCTTTCACACAGGGGCCACCAAGCTATCCTTCTGCATCTAGTTTACTCTCAAGAATGCCTACGGTTGAGCATTGAACCTTTGCGCAAAAGAAATTGGAACTTTTGCGCACAAAAAGGAGGGTGGATATGAATTCCGCAGTCGCACAAAGACTTCTTCTCAGCTCCAGACTCTGAAGCGTGACATTTCAGCCAAGAGGACATGCAGCAATTCGCCAGTCGAGTTGCCGCGTCTGGCCAAAACCCTTTTCTCCTTTCGTACGCCCGTCATCCCTCCTTCAATGGGAAATGACAAATCAACCAGCCCCTTATCCGGGCCCGAGGATGATGTTCAGTAGGTGTTTGGGGGTGTTCCACTTCGATGCGGAAGCTGGGGATGCACCAGGTTAGAATTAATTGTCAGTCGATTTACCCTCCATGGAAGTGGAAACACGGCCATTTGGATATGACAGTCGCCTTCCCACTCCCCCCTCCCTTGTCAGAAAGCTTCCATAATGCTGGAAAGAGGGCAAACACCTGACAGTATTCTCCATTGCTTGCACAGCCGGCTGTGGCTGGGAATCAATGCCTCCAGTTCTCATGCGCTCCACTTGCCAGCATCCCTTACCCAACAAGAAGCCGCGCGCACTTGGGTGTGTCTGTTTTTGAAGGCACGCTTTAGGTGGTTCTCATCAGAGGCTTTAAAGGCAACCCACCCATGCTTAGGGTCCCCTCATTCGACGGCGCCCCGGGTGCCGAGCCATCTTGAATAGCCGTTGCTCTCGAAAGGGCCTCGCGGCTCACTTTAAGCTTGGGTTGACATTTCTTTCGCGGGCCTCTGGCGGGCCAAAATGGTAAGGCCAAGCCAGGGTCGAGCTAAACGCCTTGGGTGAAAAAAACACACAGATTTAAACAAGAGCGTTTCAAGAAGCTCAAACTACCATTGTCTAGAAACACACTCCTGGCAATTTCGCGACTCAGAACAACAAACTTGGAACAACCCTCGACTAACGGGTTGGTCTCAAGAACCAATGAGGTCTAATCGGAACATGAATACATGACAACCGACAACCCCTATCCTTCCCGAATTGCTCAGACGGGTCTTTGGACTATGTGACACATCTGGGTGGTTTGTAACATGTCACCAGCCTGAAATAAGAAATAACCCCCGCAGCAAGAAAGGAACCTTCGGAGAGATCGTGACAAGGCCATGGGTCAAAATCCCGTACCCCCAGTGAACATCCCAATCCCCGCTATCGGCTAAAATGGGTGGTGCACCTACCCCAAATGGCTGGCCATTGGTCGTCAAAAAGGATGGTTTCGAAGGGAGATTCTCCACGCCTGAAGGACCCCCGATTGGAACTGCCGATTGGAAACAACAAGTGCAGAGTGTAGTAGTTTTGTTTAGGGCACCGCCCCTTCGTTGTGGCTTTCAAGTAAAACCCACCATCGTGTTTTTTGTTTTTCTTTTGGGCCTTCTAAAAGAACGCATGCATATATGTATATCCATGCATGTAGTTTAATAACAACCTCCGTGGTTTCACTGTGAAGTGGAAATGGGACAGGTTCAAACAAACTTTGCTCAAAACCGGTTGAAGAAGCGACCTCTTGCTCGTCGGCACCATTCGTTGCCGAGTCGGTACTTCACTTCGCAAACTTACGGGAATCCCGTTTGGATCTTTGAGAACCCCTCCTTTCCTGGATCCCCATCAAAAAAAAACTGGGCAGTTTGGCCTTCCTGTCAAACGATGTTGGTTTCTTAACAGCAGGACAACCTTTTGCTTCCCGCAACCATTGCCCACGAGCTTCACATCATGTTTCGTGCCTGGCGCTCAGAGCAGAGATGGCGCGGAAGCAGGAGGCACCTCACCAAAACAGCATTAGCTGGTGTGAACAAACCAAGGGTTTTGGTTGTTTGACCACCGTTTTGATGGTTCCCTCAAACAAAAACCAAGCCAAGTACGTTCATAGTGAGTCTGCCCTAAAGTCTAATTGCTGTAGATCAGACCTCAGTCAACCCGAGGTGGAGTTTTTGGCCCCAACAGACAAAACTAAAAAACCCAAGACGCGTTTTCGCGCCCTGTGGCTCGGTCATTGTGTTGAGGTTCGGAGCAACCGACCCTGTGCTTGAAAGCTTGTAGGTTTCTACTCACCCAATATGTTCATTGCTCCCTTCACAGAAGGCAAGAAGCCTTCCAAGAGGAGTATGCGCGCCTCTACGTTTGTTGGTTCGAGGGGTGACAATATGAAATTACATATATGTATATATTCAAATGGTTATCTCTATACAAAAGTATGTACATGTCAATATCTAGTAGTTTGGTAAACGGAAATATTCAAGGGTCCCTGAGGGTGCACCGCTTGGGGAATCACGCTTGCCTTGTTCTCCACATCCCCTGTTTTTGTTGCCTGCATGCGCACAGAGATTGACGTCAAAGGGTTCAATTCTGCTGGCTGCAAATCTGCGTGTTGCCAACCGCTCAGGTTGCTCGCACACGTTGCAACAAAAACTCAGTCGAATCAACGCATCCCGGCCAGAACTGAACATGAATCCTGCCCATCTTTGACCCGAACACATGGAGCAGAAATAGCTTCGGCCAAAGTAGCTGGGATCCGTTGTTGACACAAACAAACATGGAGCTTCACAAACCCCCTTTGAACCCACTATGTTCCTACTGCGCACTACCATGTGTATTGGCGGGCGGGCATCCGGTGATAGATCGATGTGATTTGATCACTTCCCATTGCGGTTCCTTGAGAAACAAAATGATTGATGCTGGAAAGCCGTGTTTGCGCCCACCCCTCCAACACATTAGCGTGCATGGCCTCACCTTACACCTAGGCATAGTATTGGGTAACAAGCAAAACACTCTCAGGCGCGCACCCAACATTTGCCAAAAGCGCTGTGCACACCCATCCCAGCAGAGAAACCATCAGCAGCCGACTTTTTTGGCCTCCGCTCAGGTTTCTCCTGGGGTGTGACGGATTTGTTGCCCAAACATGAGACGGTCAACATGCACCGATGTTTTTCTTGTGCCCGTGGTGTCATGATCGTATTCCGCGCTGTAGGCCCTCATCTTGTGCCATGATCCAAACTCTGTTCGTCGCCGGGTTTCCGGGGCCGGTGCGCAAATGAGGGTCGGTGGAGCTCATCAACAGCGTGACAAACTTGAAGAGGTCCTTAGGCAGTGAGTCCGCAAGTTTCCCGTTGAGAGACTGGTAGAACAAGGGGACCTGGTTGACCATAGGGGGGAAACCCACCAAAAAATTGGTGCCACTGAAGAATTGGGGGGATTTTGGAGGCCCTGGGAAGCAGAATCTCAAGGTGTAATGTTTCACCCTTCAAACTTCCTAGGCCATCATCAAAGGTAGGTGGATACCGAATATGTCCCGTGGCACAAGGGTTTCTGGTCCCCTCAAGGTAAGAGCCTCGGATGGTGCTCTGAAATTAGCAGATACCTTTAGTAGAGACTCCCACCAAAGTCGAGGCAGCAGATTCTCTGCTTCTCTGCTTTGAGCAAGCGCTTCGCCTTCGAGTACAAAGGCTTGTTTAAGTTTGGAACTCTTTAGACCCACAGAGAAAAAGGTCCGGGAAGGCTCCCTTTGGCAAATTCCCCCTCCCCGTCCAATCTGAGGCGCGGAATTCTTGAGCTCATCCGGCACTGGCTTCTCCTTGTCCCCCTTGGCCTCCCATGATTGACTTGGGAAAATACATGTTTTTTCGAGACCCAAGAATGGGGTTTTCTCTTTTGGTTTCACTGAAATCCACAAAAAAGGGGTGCGCACTCAAAAAGAGACACGCCCATCTATAACAAAAGAGGGTAGCCCCCAAAAAGGAGAGTCTGCCTTTTGGTTTCCCTTTTAACAAAAGGGGACTCTAAAGAAAAACAACCCCATTTCTAGGTGTTTTCCCAGTTCACTTTAGGGAGCCAAGGATGTGTTTCTGCTTCTAGTTTCAGTTGAAAAACGGACAACTAATGGACAAAATCCACGGCAACAGTTGGGATGGATGCCACACTTCGAATACTGCTTAGTAAACCACCTGCAAGAGTCTGTCCATTTAGAGCAGGATCGAATCCTATACGACCCGACGTAACTAGCATGGGGTTGACGTTGAAACTAATTTTAGCAAGGATCCCAGCAGAAGACTGTTGGTAACTACTACTTAGCACGCTGTGCAATACTGTGGATGGATGAAATCCTGCACCACTTTGAAACTATCGAAATTCCATTGTTTGTTGCTATTTACGGGGAATCATCCTTCCAGGGTTTCTCAGGTGGTGCAGGATTTCTCCATCCACAGTAGTAGTGCGGAAACCAGGAGCAGGGCCAACTCCCATGAAACACGATTTGCTCAAAGAACATCTGAAGGCGGTCAGAGTCTGGTCCCAACAAATGTTACCCGACACTGGAAGAAGACCTCTGCGGGGATTTATATTTTCATGTTTAGTCTGGGTCCAATATCAGAGGCAATCTAATTACGCGCACTATTATCTTAGGATCATGAGGCAAATTATTTTTCAATTACCCCACAACCCAAGAACAATTGTCTAGGCCCTTAGTGTACTCGGTTGCTTTCTGCTCCCCTGCTAAAAGTGAATAACTCGGAACACCCACTTGGCAAAAAGTTAAGGTCCTAACATCCCTCGGCAAAATGCAACAAAATGATGTTTGAACCACCCTAGCAAATGCAGGGTGGTAATGATCGGGGTCATTTGGGAGTGGCTTCCCTGACGGCCTGACGCTGTAGTATTTTGCAGATCGCCGGCCAGGGCGCTGCTTTTTTCTTGCTGATTTCGCTCGGCTCGGCGCACTTTGGCGCTCCGTTCTGGCCCAGCGACCGAGCGATGTGCGCAGCTGATCGGCGCACCCCTGCCTTTGGGACCGCTGCAAAAGATGATCTGACTTGAATCAAATCCCCAGAAAATGGGAGGAGGGCCGCGCTGCTGGAACCTGCTGCTTGATGCTTCAAATGGAGCACGTTCATGTCCATGCTTGGGAGGCTTGTACACCACATACTAGGATAGTCTTAGCAAATCACCAAGCTGCAACAAGGGACCCCGACAAACGGAGCCTTTGTGGGCAATGTCGCAAACCACAAATCTTGCCAAAATGCCACCTAAATTCCTGCCGCTGCTCAAATGGGCAGAGCGAGCCATGCAAGCAAACCCATCAACGAAACCGCTCTTCAATTATTTGTCCATCTCTCGGATGACGCGCCTACGTCATGTTTGTCTCCTTAGGGACCCCCTGGTTCCACGTCACAGGAAGTACCCATCGAACCCCCAACTGCAAGGAAGGCACAGGCAAGATTGGCTCGGACTGGCTCAGTCGCGACACTCGCTAAACGCGATCTCCGGGTTGGAGCTGAGGGGGAGCTACGGAAAACCCTCGGTGAGACGAAGGACACAATTCCGTGGGCGAAAAAAAGAAAACAAACAAAAAAACTCCACCACTTTGAAACCAGTTGGAGCCATTGTTTGTTGGTATTTACCTTGGGGAAACGAAACATTGCTTGTCGCATTCCGTTCGTTCGCACCACTCTGCAACCATCAGAGGAAACAACGGCACCACTTTGAAACCATGGTTGGATCCATAACGTTTGTTGGTATCTACCTTGGGGAAACGAATCAGACACCAGGCTTTCTGAGTTCGGTGGCGCGAAAAGCGGATTTCGCACCCATCCACAGCAGCAGCTGCTAGCGGGGGATCCGAGGAACCCTGCGTCTACCTCTCCAGCGCTTCATCCAGGGGGATGCCCATCTCCCACGCCTGCCACATTTGTCGCTCACAGAACGCCTCGAAAACGCCCACAAAGCGAACCCTGTAAACGTCAGGTCTATTTTTGTGTGTGTGTGTGTGCTTTGTTTTGGTATCCTTTCGATTTCCTTTCGGTTCCCTTTATTTTCAGCCGTCTTTCGGTATTGCTTTGGTCTCCTTTCGGTTTCTTGTAGTTTTCCTCTGTGTTTCCTGTAAAACACGCTGCGCCGCAGAGGGGGGTTGACCATTTTGAGAGGCTCATGCCCTCCCGAGTCGGTTTCCGACCAGGACCTCCAAGCGATAGCGTCCCTTCAGGACTGGGCATCTGAATGCCTCGAAGCTCTCAGATTCATAGGGACCATCAAAGGGGCTCCTGAAAAAGAAGTATACTGCCAATGTTGAACACATTCACCGTTGGTGTGAAGGATATCCTGCTCAAGAATCCAGTCGCGGATTGCGCAATTGTTGGTTCTAGCTCGGCTTGGCTTGTCCCTGAGTGATTTTATGATCATCACCCATCCTACACGTCTAGGCATGAATCCTGCATGCTTCCCTTCGGCCGTTACATGGTTCTCGCGGTTGCCTATGCAAGAAAATGGCACGCGCACAAAACGGGGAGGGATCAGGATCCCTGCCCAACGTGAGAAGCTCATCTACCAAAATGGTATCATGTAGGCGTCGAATTGGACAAATGTGCTACAAAGTGATGACCATATGAGTTACAAGCGAATTGCAATAGTACACGCCTGTAATCTTCAAAACTTCCTAAGCTTCGGAAGCTTCATTCAGGGTCTTCCCTAGTTTTGCCAACCCGACTTGTCCTGTTTTTTGCCAGGACCAGGTTTGCGAAAGTTCCGCGAGCGTTTGAAGATGTTTCAACGACTTCCCTTTGGCCTCCAAAAGGGACCTGGGCCTGGTTGGTTCAATTGGCCCCGTGCCATCGCTATGCGCCAAAGGACATAAATCTGTGTTTCTCATGCGAAAGGATAACACTACCCAAGGCTTGTGGGACTGAAGGTTTTCCCATTTCTTCGAGCCCAAAGCTGCAACGACTCTAAGTGTCCATGGCACGCCCCCCAACCCCACCGGCTGCTCGGACCCTCCCCCCGACCGCGCCCCCCCGAAACCCGTTCGCTCCTTGTCGACCGCCGGGCCGAATGTGTGCAGCAGCTCGTGCCACTCGCCGTGGCGGGCCAGGCGGACAATCTGCCGCGCCTCGCTCGAAATGCTCCCCATTCGACCCGGGGAAAGAAAGGAAGGAAGGGGTGCACACACAAAGTACCCTGAAAAAAAGCGGGTATTTGGAGTAGGAAGCACATGTTCTACCCAATTCGAAGAGAGAAAAGTAGAAGGGAAGAGTTGAAGGGACAAATTATGTTGAAGTGAACATTTTTCAAGGAACACCAGGGAAGAAAAACATCTTCTACCCCAACCGCTTGGGTTCAATCGACATTTACGTGGATTCAACGGGTTCAGTCGGAGGCTGGCTCGCACCCGCCTCCTCCCGAGGACTCAGCTCTGCCCAGCGCAGCAACTTGCCCAGCGCCAAGACATGGCCTTCCTCGCGGCGGTGCTCAAAAGGCACCGCTGTTTTTTCGCTTGGCCCGGGTTCAAACCCGAAAAATCCATGAGTTCAGAATAATCCCGTAGAAATTGATGAGTTCAAAACAAATCATGCGTTCAAAAATAAAGAGTTCAGAATAGTTATTCTGCCAACAAAAACAAACATGAATACCATGAGTTTAATCATGAGTTCAACAAATCATGAGTTCAAAAATAAAGAGTTCAGGATAATCATGTCAACCATAGTCAGTCCACCACCAAAAAACAAGTTTTGGGAGAGACCCCAGTACTTTAATCACAGTCAGCCCACCCCGAAATATACTTCACGATACGTTGGTGTAGCGAATGGTTTCTCAGAAATCCGAGGAATCGCCTGGGGAAAAGACCCGCCTTATGCGGGTGGATCCCATGGTTTTGACCCTGCCCGGACTGGATCCATATGTTTTGCCTCCCACTGATTCACAGCGGCCTTCTGTTGCGTGGAAGCCAAACTCATCTTGTGGATCAAGCGTACTGTGGATGGGACTTGTGTCCATTCCGCACTTGGTATACATGGTTTATCCCAGTATTCAGATCGGGAAACTCAGAATAAACGGCATAGGTTATGAGCCACACCGGTTGGTCTCCGATTCAGCCAAGCTTCCTCGAAATCCAGCGGGATGCTTGCAACCAGGCGCCCGATGTCTGGCGAAAACCCGCCTGCAGCACCCAGGGACTCATCTCGAGTCTTTGGAGTCCAGGTAGCTCTCACCGCCGCAGTCACGCAGTCCTGGTTTGAAGACCGCAGGTGGGCATACTTGTTCTAAGCCCTGGCTAAAAACAAAAGGGTGGGCAAACATGTTAGTGTCCCGGTTTGAAACAGTGGGCATAAAATTTACGCACATTTAAGCATTGGGGATTTATCTCCAACCATTGCAGAGGGGTGGGCCCCCCCTGTGTCCTTCACAAACTAACACTCAACAAGCAGTAATTTTGTCAGTTGCTCGTTTGAGGTCTGTTAAAACTTGAAACCTTTCTGCCGTGGTGTAACGCCATGTTTGTTATGTTCAAGACTGCTTCAGTGGGCCATGGTTCCCTTATGAGGAGCCCTTCCGATGCTAGTTTTGATGTTCATCCCTGCCTCAGTATACTCCAGGTCTCTAAACACCCCACACACGGAAGATATCCCACACACATGTAGACAAAGCCCTGGCTGCCCGCAAAAACTGTTGGGACCATGCTGAATTCCCGGGTTCGAACTGTGCAACGTGCCAATTCCACCAAAGAAAACTGGCCAAGCGGTCAGGTAAGGGTCTTCAGAGGGAAAACCCATCTGACAAGAGGACAATGAAACCGAGGGTTTGACGCGAGCCGCGCTTAGGACTCCCTGTCCGTGTTGTGCGCATCTGGCGGCGTCGAAATAGAAAGAAAGGCTGGAAAGCAAGCGTCCGGCGGACGGCTGGCTGTTGGCCGGAACCGCAACATGTGTAAGGCGTTTCTCACTGGCGGGAGACTGTGAGAATTACTCTGTTTCCCTCCTGGTGAGAATAAGGGCGACGAAAAACAAGCAAAGCACAAGATGAGATGCTGCAAAGGCTCTCAAACCATAAGCTCGATGTATCGTGGTTGAATTTGATCTTCCTTCTGACTTCATTCGGATGTGATTTGTTGCCTCACCGCATGCCATCAAGGCACCAAGGCTTGGAGGTATATAAACGGCAAATGAACATGGATGGTCAAGCGACCCTTAGCACACGATTGCCCAGTGCTTCTAACCCTCCAATTGCCAGTTTGCCGCAAGCTCGTTTTGAAGCTCATGGTTATTTGCTTGTCCCTGCACCCCGACTACTGTGAATGGACAAAATCCTGCACCACCTAAGAAACCCTGGAATGATGATTTCCTTGTAAATAACAACAAACAATGGCTTCCCATGGTTTCAAAGTGGTGCGAAATGGATTTCGCAACCATCCACAGTAGGTTAGTCAACTTGCAACATAGAGTTGGACTCCAGAATAGCACCAAGCATTAACCGTCGACTTGTCATCAGCCCGTGCTTCCCGCAAAAACCCTTCATCCCCGGACAACCGTCCGACCGGTCAGATCTCCTGATAGCTGCTAGCTGTGCGAATGGTGAGAGCACACACGTACTGGTGCCTCCTACGCCACCAAAACGAGGCAACAAAGCATGTGAAACCGCAACTTCGCGATGTGAATTGCTCAAGAAAGAGGCTGCAACAGTCAGGCGGAGGATGCTTCACTCGCGACGAAACATGTTTGTTCACGCCCAGGAAAACGGCAAGAACTTCAGCCTCGACACAACAAAACAATCCAAACACTCAGAGAAGGTTGCCTCTGGCACCAGTGACCGTTGCTTTTATTTCGTCTTTGCCGCGGAAGGGGAGGCAACGCGCCCCCGTCATTCCAATCGGTGCTAGGGGCCATGCCTAGGGAATTGGAAACCGCCTAACAGCCAAAGGTCTCCCTGCAACTCGGACAACAGTGTAGCAGTCCCTAGACAGAGACCCCCAAAAGTGCGTGGATTCCACATCCCGTTGGTTCTTTTGTACTCAGCCGCCACTCTTTTAATGTCCAAGGCATCCACAAAAGTCGCAGCCACACGTTTTTCCTGTCCAGTCTGGGCAAATTACCACAATTCGAGTGATAGATTCCCTTGAAAGCCAACAAGGGAAATGAGAAATATTCTTAAACAAATGGAAGGATACCCTTCCTCCAACAAACGTAGCACCTGCGGGAAGGTACCTGGAAGATCAGTTTCCTCTTAAAGGAACCTTCTGTGAGGTGCTACGTTAGTGGAAGGGAAGGTATTAAGTAAAAACTTTCGTCGATAAATCCGTCTCCTCAAAAGTCTGTAGGACTCCTGGTCGGCGGGCAGCGGACCGCGCGGGCTGCCCACTCCTTTGGCGACCCGGTGCATGGGTTCGAACAAATTTCAAATGAGTCAAAATCAAAGCCGGGTATTAAATGGTCGACCAAGAACCATGTATAGAATGAAGAAGGCGGCCGCAGCTATTTATGGCTGGGATTGTCCCCTACCAACCTTCATCTACCCAGGTGTTGGTTGTGGCTCAGGTGGGTTCCTTTCGCATGCTGCGCGCATTGTCCTGTGCTGCAAGTTCGCAAGCCGCTATTGTGAACCGAATAGGATATGCTGAGCCACTGTGGATTGCCGAAATCTCGCGGTTGGGATGGATGCACCTACCTGCCGATCGGCGGGGACTTTATCCATACGACACCAGACTTCCTCCTGATCATGCTCTGCATCTTTTCATTTTGGCCCCTCAGTAATTAACTGAACCACCCTCAACTCCCCAGCGGCTGGGTAAGCCACGGAGCCCATCAAGTCGTTGGGGTAGGTGGTCGTGTACCACTTGGTGTACTTCTCCCACATTTCCCCTCCCTTCAGCAAAAGTCCAGCCAGCTGCTTGAGCCCGGTCATGGTCAGACCTTGGTCTCGCTTGGCTTCATTAAGCACAAGCTCCCTTTGGCTTCATTCAAAGAACAAGCCCAAAAAAGGGCGCTTGAGGTGAAAGCAAGATTTGCCAAGGGCCTCCCGGCCCTCCCTGTGGCCCTGCTGCTTCCGAACTTGGTTTCCCTGTGATTTATCTGGGGTCTTCATCCAAAACAAAAACAGGGGGTTGTTCCAACAAGACACATCGCAAATGTAACATCTTGTCAACTAGTGGCATGTGAAAGACAATGAGAACATGGTGTCACATACCTCTACACAAAGCTACGCAAAGACTACAAATAAGCTCAGGTGATATCCCCAACAGCAACACGCCCGTGTGGGATCTGCAAATGCGGAAAAAACACAAGCACTTGCTTGAACCTTACCCCGAACCTCCGGAACCTTGCTTGAACCTGACCCTTATCTGGGCTGACACCTCTTAGCTTTCAGCTGTTGGGCAACAAAAAACAAAGTGGGCGCCCCTATTGCTGGTTGAGAAGTGTCGCGCGCAAACCTTATGGTTGGCTTGATTCGTTTGGCAAAATTGGCATGTTGTTACCATCAAGTGCACTTCGGTGATAGGTTTGGGTATCTATCAAAATGCTGGGGCCCTGAGCATTGGTAGTTTGCCTTTTGTTCCCGTTTAACAGTACGCCAAAAAGAATACCCTCATAAAGACACATCCGGATCTCTTTCTTCGTGGCACTGGTCTGGAAGAGGTCGGTGAAGCTGTAGCCCTGAGCCCAGTCCAGATTGGACTTGGAGGAGACGTTGGCGTAAAAGGTGTCAAAGTCCAGCACATCCCCAGTGTTCCTGTCCTGAAAGCTTGGAGCATTCATCCCAGAGTTTAGTGGGGATTCAGACCACTGCGGGAGGGGACCCCCATATTTATAAACAGGGGTTTATTAATCCGGGGTCAACATTAAGCTCATTTCACCCCCTTCCTAGTGCAGAATGGCCTGCTGAAACCTGGTCATGGAAGGAGTGGGGCTCCAAGGTTGACCTCTACACTCCCGCAGTGTTGGCACTCAGGAAAATGGCCGTGGAATAAGGCTTTGATTTTTAGGTACTCTCCCACAGGTGCTTCCTGTTAAGACGAAGGGTGCCCAGGTGTGTTGTTAGTACCCTTTCTCGGGGCGTGGCAATGTGAAACCAAAAGGAACCCCACGAATTTGGCGATTCCTGTAAGCCACTCATTGCAAAGCCTTTCCTTTAGGTGGCGTCCGGAGTGTGGGGAAACTCGTGTAGGGTGGGTTCCTTGCGCCCTTGAAACGGCCCGTGGAAATCACTATGTACTCCTTTGTGACCCACGACCGCCCCTGCCAGGCCCAGGCCAAACGTGCTGAGCTTCAATCGACCAAGCAACTAGCGGGCACCCTTTCAACTGGCAAAGGCTCTCTGTAGCTTCCCGCTTTGCGTACGTCAACAGCTCATGCACACACTTCAACAACTCCCCCATTCTGTTCAGAGGACGCTTAAACGGGCAACCAGAGGGACACCAGCGAGGCTCCGATGTCAAGGCAATCGCTTGAGTCTGCAAAAACACGCGCATGGCTGATGAGTGCTGAATTACCCCCAAACAAACTTACTTAAAACAAAAAGAGCAGCATGATGTGGCTGATGAGTGCTGAATTCCCCCGAAAAGGTGATGCTTAAGGCCAGGGCAAATTCAGTTGCCAAGTCTCATAGCTCACGCTCCGAAATGCCGGCTGGTTGTAGTACACCGGGCTTAGAGATGCCGACAGCAAAATTGGCCCTGCGTTAGGCGGGGGGTCCGGCAAGAGCCGGATCTCTTCCTGCCAAAGATGAGTCAAAAAAAATGCAGCTTACGGATGCCCTGGCTTTGGAAGCTCTTTTTGCGTGGTTTTGTAACCTCTCTTTGACACTTTTCTATTATTTGGCTTGAAAATGAGACAGACTCTTCAAAGCACCACATTGGTGCTACTGGTACCTTAATCGCGAACGGTGCATCCTTTTCGCCGAATAAGGGTTTGTGCCAAAATGGGAGGATTGCCCAGCTCCACTGGGCAGCTCCCCTCAGCAGCTGATGGGAGTAGAATTGATGCCACTCCCACAGCGAGGGAGGAATCCTCCCACCTCACCGGATGCCCTCCCGGCATCATGGGTGAGGAAGGAAAGTAGCGAAGATCAGCTTGATCAATTCGCTTTCGACTGAGGGGAAGACCCGGTTCTCAGTCGGAAATTGCGGGTCCGGATGAGTAAGTTCATCCGCCCACGTGTTAAAGTCGCGCTTCACATGCGACGGTCCCAACATGACCTGGTGGTCATGCAGTGTTAACACAATTTCCATGAGGATGGCCGCATTGGGCATCCTGCGAGTGGAATCGTTAAGCAGGGAGAAAACGTTTCCCTGGTTATCACTAGCAACCAGAATCCTAGTGTGAGAAACCGAGCCGGCTGCACAAAGCAGAGCAGCCCTCACCAGAAGGAGGAGGCCGAAGAGCTCCAAGGCCGCTATCGCTCGCTGCGGGTCCCCAGTAGCGAAGGCCCACGGCTCGCCCTCCGGTGTGATTCTGTGTTGGAACCACTTCACGCGGGACTTGTCGGGGTTGGGCACGTCCGAGCACCAACCACCAACCCATGCATGGTCCGCCTGTTTGCCAGCTCCCGCATCGGATGCCCCCGTCCAGGGAAGTGTGGGAGCAAATGAAGATGCCAGTGGGAATCTCTGGTTGAAGAGCTTCCCCAGAAGGATGGCCAGAGCACGAACCAGCTTCGGTGGCCTGCCCGAAGTGGTGCAGGCCTTCTTCCAGCTCCAAAAGGGTTGGAGGAAAGGTTTCGTCAATGGACACGCCGAAGTAGCCCATTGAATCCGGCCCAGGGCTTGTTCCACCTCCTTGCTGGTAAAGATGTCCCCCTGGGCCAGCCGTTTGAGAGTGGCCAGGATTATGACGTGCTTGACTGGAGCCAGCAGCACACAGGGCGTGATTGGGTCCACCACGAATCCCAACCAGGTATTGACCGGGGAGAGCGCCGTCTTCTTCCAAGAAAGCGGGACTCCCAGCGCCAGAAGAGTGGCCAGGATGGCTGTGGCGTCCCAGTCCGCCCTGCTGCATCTGAGGACCCAGCAGTAGTCGTCCACAAAAACTAAGTGCCAGTCTACCTGAGGGAAGATGTAGTACAAGAGTCTGAGCACCAAGGATGCCTTTCTTCCCCAGTACAGTTGTGCCGAGGCCATGCCGTACGTGCCCACTCTATTGACCCACCACCGGTTCTGGATGCAGGCCACCTGGTATTTCCAGTCTTTCTGGAGCACTTTTATGCGCCTGTGGGCCTTGGTGACATCCGCCTTGAGGATGATGAAGGTTTCCCCCCGTGTCGGCGGCTGCCACGTCAGGGGTTCCCCCCTATCAGGGCCCTCGGCACCTGGGGGCAGGCTGGTGCTGTGGGGGTCCCTCTCAGGGCCCTCGGCACCTGGGAACTGCCCCTGCACCGGCTGGCGAACATCCCTAGGTTCCTCATCAGTGCCCGAGGATGGGGCTCGGAGTAGATGAGGATGGTCCGCCGCTGTCCTGAGCCAGTGGATGGCATGGAGGCAGTCTCCAACCATCGGTGCGGTGGTCTTCTCCTCCGTGTGAGCCTGGATGTGTGCGTTTGCTCCCCCTTTTGAGCCATCATAGATCGTCCTGATCTTGTCCGACTCATCAATCCCTGCAAGGGGGCCCGGGCAAAGTTCCTCCGGTTTGCAGCGGCACCTCTCTGCCGCCTCGGAGCGAGTGAAGGGCCCGTCCACCATGTCCAAGGCTCGTTCCTCGTAAAAGGTTGATTCGATTTCCTTGGCAAAGAGTTCAGCCGTTGGGTAGTTACCATGAGCCACTGGCGGGGGGGGATCTTCCCCCAGCCAGGCTTCTCCCTTAAGCTCCTCCTTAGTGGGCCAAACTCCCGGGGAGGTCAAGGTAGGGTCCGAGACTCCCAAGGGGACCCCCTCTTTCAGTGTTAGGGGGAATTCCCAATCAGGGTCACCTGAAAGGGATGCCAAGTGCGACACTAAGTCCAGGAGGAAGGGCTGTCCTGGGCATCGTTCATGGAGGTGCCTCGGTCCTAGGATAGCCCGCAGCTCCTCGAGGTCGGCTTCCTGGAAGGGGTGTGTGGTGGCACCTGATGCCAGGGACATTCGGACCTTGTCAATCCAGGGACGGGTAAGGGTCATGATCAAGGCGCCCAAAGTAGCCAATGGGGAAATTCTCCGAAAAGGGGGGTTGAGCCTCCCTGGGGAAGGTTTTCCCCCCCCATCCCTCAGGGGGCGTGAGCGGAAACCCAATTGGACAATCGCCACCCGGTCAGTGAGGTGTGGGACCCTGAAAGCGGGCAGGCATTCGGGGCGGTCCAGGACCTGGTCCCCCTGTCCCTCCTTCCCCAGTTGTTCCGCATCTCCGGCCATCGGGGGCATGGGAGATGGGAAGTCTGGGTTCATTGTTCCACGAGGGCTTACGGTGTCTGCCTCAGGGTGGAACTGCCCGTGCAGGCGGGGCTTCGGGGCGTTCTTGCCTCCGGGCTTTGAGCCCTGGTGTGATGAGGAGGGACCGCCTCCTTGACTGGGCCCCCGTTTTCCCCGGGGGGAATGGCCTTCCGGGGGGTCCGACCCCCGCCCCTTAGGTGGTCCCTTGGGGTTTCCCGGAAATTGTGAGGGGATCCGGATGTGCCCCGGCGCTGCGAGTGACACAGCGATGGCTTTGGCCAGGCCTGCCATCATATCCCAAGGGTATCTGCTAAGAGTCGAGGACTCGTTGGTGCCCACATGTGACTGATGCGTGCACCGCATTTGATCCCAGTCCTGGATCGGGAGATCCGTGGCCAGCGTAGTGGCCTTCTTGACCAGCTGGCCCAGGCGGCACTGGTCGAAGGAGATTGCTGTCAAGGAGTTCTCCTCCATCCAAAGCTGCCCCTCCTCTGTGATCCAGAAGGATGAGCATTCCTTGGCTTTGGGCAGCGAGCTGCTCACCACTGGGTCCTCCGGGTGTTCCAGGAAGGACCTGGGCCCTGGCAGAGAAACCGCCGCTCGTGAGGCCCTTGCCAGGCTGGTGATGTACATCTGTCTCAGAATGAGGATGCTGTCATCATCAAGTTGAGTCTGGGCGGCCTGGTCCAGGTGTGGAAGGCCCCAGAGTGTCTCCGGAGTGCGCCCTCGTACCGGGGTGGGAGCCCCCGGTTTTGGTATGTGGCGCAGGATGGACCATGTCCTGCAGTTGGGTCCTCCTCCAATGAAGACCACTCGGCCCTGCTTTGCTGCCGTGCAAAGAGCTCCATACAGCTCGGGTTGGAGCATGTCGTGGTCCCCCTTGGGTCCAGACCGTAGGATGTCTACCGCCACCACCATGCTGGAAAGGTGTGGGTAGTTGGCATGAAGACAGCTGTCCAAGGAAGTAGGGTCCTCCTTGCCTGCATAGAGCAAGACAATGATGGGCCCACTGGATGGAACTTTGGGCGATGTGCCCTGTGTCCATCTCAACCGCTGTACCAGACGCTCAGGGATGTTCTCCATCCACGGGAAGATGTCCAATCCCGGTGACGGCTCCGTCGGACTTGTCAGGGGGGTAGCTGAAAGGCGTTGGCCCCCTTCATTCAGCCCCACCGAGCTCTTGTGGAAAACCACCGGGCCTGCTTGATGATGTTGGGCGCCGGAAGTGGGATCGGCTGCCTCCTGGGAGTGTTCCTTGGCGTTGCGGTGTGCTGCCAGACATCCGGCACTCGGGCCTTCTGGGTGCGGCCCCCCGTGTCAGGGCCCTCGGCACCTGCGGGGAACCGTCCCGTCCCCGCCCTATCAGGGCCCTCGGCACCTGTGGCTCGGGACTGAGGCGCCGCCGTTGTGCCGGTTGTATGGCTGTGCTGGTCACGGCGAGGGCGTTGTGCACGCTGGTTCTGCCGTCCCCATCCTTGTTCCGCCGAGGATGGCCGCCAACTGGCCTGTCCCCCCCCTGTGTCAGGGCCCTCGGCACCTGCAGGAGGGGGCTTCTGTGCCTGCTTGGGGCGTTTGCACCCCTTCTCGCCCCCCCGGGCCCTATCAGGGCCCTCGGCACCTGAGGCCTCCCGGGGGGTAGGGGTCAGCGCCCCTAGTCAACCCGGGCAGTCCTGCGGGAGGTGGTCCCCCAGGCAGATGCGGCCCATTGCCAGGATGAGGTTGCACTTGTGGGTGCGGCCGCAGTTGCCCGGGCAGCGCCCGCGCATCCAGTTGTTGCAGAACTGGTTCCCTTTCGGGTCGGTGGCTGCCTGCTTGCTACCGCCCCGGGACGCCTGATTGTTCAGGTGGGGGGGCTTACCCTTCCCTTTGTTCCCAGGCTTGCCCTTGGGCTTCCCCTTGCCCTTGGACTTGTTCTTGCCCTTCTGAGGTGGTGCGTAGTCCATGGATGTCCTGGTTGGTGGGCGGCCCCGGGAAAAGGGCTGGATCTTCTCGTAGACCTCACGTGTCCAGAACAATGTGTCCTGCCTGACCGACAGCATGGCCGCCTTGAGGGTGTTGCCCTCATGCATCTTCTCGTGAATCTTTCGCCATGCGTTGCGTTCGGCAATTGCCAGGACGTGGTCCTCTGGCGGGGGAAAACGGCCCCCGATGTCCTCACCATAGAACCACTCGTACCAGCTCTCCAAGTCCTCCCGGGTGATGTCGAACTGGCCGAACTGCGGGAACGAGAGGACGCACATGAGGAGGGTGTTGCGGAACACCGCGTGCATCCTCTCGAGCTGGTGGCGAGTTTTGGGCTCGCCCCGCTCTTCCACCTCATCCTCCCGGTCCCAGCCATCCACCGTGCTCTTCTTGGTGGTCTTCCATGGCCGTTCT